ATGCTTGACTTTGCAGCCTCGCCCGCCCCTCGAACCAGGATTCACGGCTCTGCACAACCTAGCCAGTTTTTCTGGGGCAGAAAAAACCAGGTCTACGTCGCACCTGCTGGCTACTTTTTTGAGATTGTGGGTGACGCCGTGGATATAGGGAATAACGACGAAGTTTCGTTTCCCACGTCCCTTATCCTTTGTACGGTTCTGAGCATTATTTTCTGGGCTCGTTCTGATTTCTCTGAGTAGACACTCAGCAACGGCGGTCAAAACGTACATCGGGAAACCAGCTTCTGTAAGGCGTTTAGTTTGCTTATTAAAGCTGGACATAATTGTGTGATAGCAGGACTTTCGCAAAGCGTTTGTGTAGCAAGTCTTAGCAATTGCGCGCTTCACCACTTTCGAATGTGCTGAACCAAAAGGGAGGATTGGCTTGTTGGCGCGTGGCTCATAGGCCCAACACACGTGGGAAGGACTCAACGTTAACATTAAATCTAGGAACCTGATGGCTCCTCTGTCCGGAACTTCATGTGTTATAACAAGCGGAGAAAGACACTTACTGAAAATTTCTAAAATACTAGTCAAAGGCGGACCATCCGAGGAGGTTCCAGCTTGAAACAACACAAGGAAATCGTCAACATAGCGGAATACTCTCTTAACAGATGTGGATCCCAAGCAATTCTGAATGGCACGATCACGGCTGGCTAAAAATAAATCACTCAAAATGGGCGCAAGGCATGATCCTATGCACACCCCTTGACGTTGCAAGTAAATATGATCGTCCCATTCTGCAAATGTCGACCTCAGGTAATACTGTAGCAGTTCCATAAAACCTTCAACAGATATGCCTACTGCATTCTGGTAATTCACAACGCCAAAACTGTCAATGCACCCGCGAATGCAAGCTAGAAGCTCACTGTGTGGCAATGAGTAGTACAGATCTTTAATATCTATTGAGCATGCCTGGTAGCCATAAAATTTGTTATCTTTCAGCACGGAAATCACATCATCGGAACTTTTTGCTAGGAATGGATCGTCTATGCTTAATAACATCAGTTTTCCCTGAAGAAATTGTGCCAGTATTTTTTGCCAAGAGGTGGCCTCTGATACTATAACACGAAAAGGACAGTTAACTTTGTGCGTTTTCGCGTTAAAGAAAATTTCCATGCTAAGGTTTTTCTCGCCATTCATCTTTTTTGCCAATCCATCAAGATTCAATCTTTTACAGATACTTTTTGCATAGTTTTTAACCTTCGGAAGCGACACATTAGCTTGGGGCTGAAAAACAGACAAAAGTGCTTCACCTGCTTTTTTCTTATAGATTTCATTCGGAATAATAACAAAACCTCCCTCCTTATCTGCTGCTACCAAAGACAATGACTTATCCTTCAGGAAGGTTTTTACCTTCTTTACAGGAACCCTGGTTAAGCCTGCTCTATGGCTACAAAGAATGTCACAACCCTCAGATGCTGCGGACCAGGCCCAGAAGTTCTGCCCTTGACCTTCTTGGTTCAACCGCATATTTGGGGCCACGGCTAAGCACACTGCTGATGTTCTCAGGCACAGACACATTCCCCAGAGAATGCAGTCCTTCTTTGCTCGGGGAGGGCTTTTTTGGCAGCGAAGCTCGTAGCTCAGTCAGCATCTGCCGCCAACGGAATTCCGCCGCGGCATTAGCTAGGTCAAGGTGATTGCGCTATCATTAAAAGAAATAGATTCCGCCGCGGCATTAGCTAGGTCAAAGTGATTGCGCTATCATTAAAAGAAATAGATTCCGCCGCGGCATTAGCTAGGTCAAAGTGATTGCGCTATCATTAAAAGAAATAGATTTCCTTCGGCACGTTAGCACACGTGCTGCTCATGGTGCGTTGTGAAGATGACTATGTGGTTGTTAGGTGGATTCTGTATTGTTTGTTTTGTATTTTCTTTTTTTATTAGAAGCTGCCCAAGTATATATTGTGCGGTTCTGGCAAATAAATCTTGTTGTAAGTTCAGTGCCGCTGTCTGTCTCCTTCTTTTTCTTGTCTCTCGTTTTTGGCGCTGTTTTTTATGTGAATCATGTCGTACCAACTCGCCCAAGCAACCACGTTAGCTACTTTCATTTCTAGTACATTGGGCTCTTTTAATTGTTTCACCGTTCAGCCATGTGTCATCGTCGCCATGTACGTCTACGCCGTGTGCAATGCCCGAAAGTTCTCTTTTCTTATCCGGTACAAACAACTCCCCCCCGACATTCTGCTGCTCTTCGGCGGTTTCAGACCTTCGCAGGGGCACGGTCTTCGACTCCTCAAGGTCCTTAGTTCTGAGTGGCACCGACAAGCTCGTTTCTACAAGCAGTGTTTGTTTCTCTCGCTTCAAGGGACTACGAACAACAATAGAGGCAAGAAGTGGTTCGATCACCTTGACCTAGCTAATGCCGCGGCGGAATTCCGTTGGCGGCAGATGCTGACTGAGCTACGAGCTTCGCTGCCAAAAAAGCCCTCCCCGAGCAAAGAAGGACTGCATTCTCTGGGGAATGTGTCTGTGCCTGAGAACATCAGCAGTGTGCTTAGCCGTGGCCCCAAATATGCGGTTGAACCAAGAAGGTCAAGGGCAGAACTTCTGGGCCTGGTCCGCAGCATTTCTAGGAAGGTACCTGCTGACTGTGCCGAGAGGTGTGTTTCTGAGGGTTGTGACATTCTTTGTAGCCATAGAGCAGGCTTAACCAGGGTTCCTGTAAAGAAGGTAAAAACCTTCCTGAAGGATAAGTCATTGTCTTTGGTAGCAGCAGATAAGGAGGGAGGTTTTGTTATTATTCCGAATGAAATCTATAAGAAAAAAGCAGGTGAAGCGCTTTTGTCTGTTTTTCAGCCCCAAGCTAATGTGTCGCTTCCGAAGGTTAAAAACTATGCAAAAAGTATCTGTAAAAGATTGAATCTTGATGGATTGGCAAAAAAGATGGATGGCGAGAAAAACCTTAGCATGGAAATTTTCTTTAACGCGAAAACGCACAAAGTTAACTGTCCTTTTCGTGTTATAGTATCAGAGGCCAACTCGTGGCAAAAAATACTGGCACAATTTCTTCAGGGAAAACTGATGTCATTAAGCATAGACGATCCATTCCTAGCAAAAAGTTCAGATGATGTGATTTCCGTGCTGAAAGATAACAAATTTTATGGCTACCAGGCATGCTCAATAGATATTAAAGATCTGTACTACTCATTGCCACACAGTGAGCTTCTAGCTTGCATTCGCGGGTGCATTGACAGTTTTGGCGTTGTGAATTACCAGAATGCAGTAGGCATATCTGTTGAAGGTTTTATGGAACTGCTACAGTATTACCTGAGGTCGACATTTGCAGAATGGGACGATCATATTTACTTGCAACGTCAAGGGGTGTGCATAGGATCATGCCTTGCGCCCATTTTGAGTGATTTATTTTAGAATTGCTTGGGATCCACATCTGTTAAGAGAGTATTCCGCTATGTTGACGATTTCCTTGTGTTGTTTCAAGCTGGAACCTCCTCGGATGGTCCGCCTTTGACTAGTATTTTAGAAATTTTCAGTAAGTGTCTTTCTCCGCTTGTTATAACACATGAAGTTCCGGACAGAGGAGCCATCAGGTTCCTAGATTTAATGTTAACGTTGAGTCCTTCCCACGTGTGTTGGGCCTATGAGCCACGCGCCAACAAGCCAATCCTCCCTTTTGGTTCAGCACATTCGAAAGTGGTGAAGCGCGCTATTGCTAAGACTTGCTACACAAACGCTTTGCGAAAGTCCTGCTATCACACAATTATGTCCAGCTTTAATAAGCAAACTAAACGCCTTACAGAAGCTGGTTTCCCGATGTACGTTTTGACCGCCGTTGCTGAGTGTCTACTCAGAGAAATCAGAACGAGCCCAGAAAATAATGCTCAGAACCGTACAAAGGATAAGGGACGTGGGAAACGAAACTTCGTCGTTATTCCCTATATCCACGGCGTCACCCACAATCTCAAAAAAGTAGCCAGCAGGTGCGACGTAGACCTGGTTTTTTCTGCCCCAGAAAAACTGGCTAGGTTGTGCAGAGCCGTGAATCCTGGTTCGAGGGGCGGGCGAGGCTGCAAAGTCAAGCATCGAAAGAAGTACGTTCCATGCATTGAAGGAGTGGTGTACTCACTACCCCTGTCTTGCGGCAAGTGGTACATCGGCCAAACAGGCAGGTGTTTAAATGAGCGGCTGAAAGAGCACGCTCACAACGTCTCCTCTACAGTTTCGGGCCATCTCGGCATTCATTGCCGAGACTGCGGCTGTGTCCCTGATTTTCAGCTTTGTACCGTCATCAGGCGGCATCGGGACCAGTTGATACGTGAAATTTATGAGGCTTCAGAAATAGAAAGGCTGGGCAGTGCATGTGTCAGCAGGCCTTCGATTGCGCTATCATTAAAAGAAATAGATTTCCTTCGGCACGTTAGCACACGTGCTGCTCATGGTGCGTTGTGAAGATGACTATGTGGTTGGTAGGTGGATTCTGTATTGTTTGTTTTGTATTTTCTTTTTTTGTTAGAAGCTGCCCAAGTATATATTGTGCGGTTCTGGCAAATAAATCTTGTTGTAAGTTCAGTGCCGCTGTCTGTCTCCTTCTTTTTCTTGTCTCTCGTTTGTGGCGCTGTTTTTTATGTGAACAGAATGAACACATATAGTGTTCGTTTACTTTGTTACTACATAAACTACACGTCGGCTATACCACGAGATAAATGAACCATGGCATCTTCTTGATTTGCGCGCCTCTCGACGTAACAACTTGACCACAAAAGTTATAAACTTAATTATGTTGCAGATATGCTTCGGGATAATGAAGCACGAAGTTCTTAACAGCGTGGCGCATGACGGAAATGGCGTTTGTTTTCCAGTTTTTTGGTAGTCAATATCACGCGGGCAAACAAAAACACCATTTCAGATTTTACGCTCTGTCACCAACAAATGTGTTGTTTTTGTTTGTTTAATACACCCGTTATATCATATACAATTCTTTTTTTTTCTTTTTTCAGAAAGAAGTGGCTCGTTGTTTGGCTTTTCGGAGCATTATCTTTTGCATGTTGCATCGTTTCTGCGTGGCAAATATACGGAACCAACATCCCGCCCTTCTTGATTGCCGTAAACACGACTTACAGGTAGGTAACGTAAGAATTTTGCAGGTGAGAGTGCTCACACGTGCCATCAGTAATCTTGGACTCTCCCAGTGCCCATCGTATGTTAGGTGAGAAAACAGGAAACAAAAGACACGCAGCGCTTGCTACTATCTCAACTTGTTTTATTTCAGAAACAATACACTTCACTTCATATTATAACTCTCTTTAGCGCACAAAACACAGAACCTGAAAGAAACAGACAAATGAGTGCTTTTCTGTATACCTTTTTAACGCGACAGCGTTAAAGAGTTCGTTTTGCAGAAATTCCGGTGGCGGCGTAGTTGGTTGTGAGCGAAAAATTATCATCTTATGCGTGACCGAAAAATCGACAACGTGAATAAATAATAAAAAATCCTGGAGCTTAGTGGGGACCGAACCAGGGTTACTTGGGTCCAAGTGGGGATTTATTCTCGGTCATTCGCGTGGCAAGCGGCTGTTCTACCAAACGGCCACGCCTCTGCTTATGAAAACAGTGAAAATAACTTCTTCTGCTTGGACATGCAGTGAAAGTAGCATTCATGCGTCACAAACGCACGTGTGTTGTATAGATTCTTTGCAATGCAACATGAAATATTGCAGTAATGATGCGTGGTACAAGCGTGCACTGCCAACGGGCGTCAGAATATGCAATTATCATAATGACTCCGTGGTTTAAAGCTTGTACCCCACTACAAAAGGCACATGTGCAACTGCGCCTATTCCCTTAAGGCCACGTAGTGGGTGCGTAGTAAATTCGAAAAGGTTTCATGCACTAAGTGTTTGAACTACGCACTATAGGAACAGGATGTCGCTATAGTCTTCAACACCTAAATACGAAACTTTTAGGGTCCCCAAATTTTTTGCTCTGTGTTTTGTGCGCGCTAATGAAAGTTACAATATGAACACTTACCACCTCGCCCAGCTATCATTTTTACTGCTAATCTTCACTAATATACGCACCCACGCATTCCTGAACGACAGTCCTCCGTACAAAGTATGCAACTCCACCTACGAGGTATCATCAATAACCTACTATATAGCCCTGTTTTCAACCGTACTGATATCCTAATGTAACGTGGTGACTGCTCGAAATAAGTGCACCATGCTTTTAGTGTTGATAGCCCCCCCCCCTTTTTTTTTTTGCTGCTATATGTCGGATCCAAGTGATCACTAGTGGTCAACCAAGGGACATATGTGAAGCGAACGTAAAGAACAGGCCACGTAAGGGCTGTGGTAATCCCTGACAAACGCAAATCTTCTCGTGACTCTTGAGTGCTTAGCTGCATTCTTTGTACGACCATCGTGTACCGATCCCGGCGTCTCCATGTTCCCTGAACAACTTTGGTGAAGCGTGAAACGGCACCCGGACACGATACGAGCACATTAAGGTGCCATATTTCGATGTGTGGTGTTTTTTTTTATGTTCCTTACTGGTTTCTTTGTGTCGTGTAGCCCATCGTGAAGGTAGTTTCACCATTGTCCACATTTCCGATATCTTGCATGCGTGCTTGTGATCTATACCGTGATTTAGACGCTGCATATATAGCTATTGTTGCATTTTTTTACTTTCGTGTTTTACTTTCCTTTTCGATATATAATAAAAAGATCTGCCAGTATTCAGACCAATTGTGCACGAGAAATAAACTCCAGTAATTGTGTCGTATACATGCCCCTGTGCTGGGCTCACGGCTGAGAAACACAACACAGGCAGCCTAGGTCATATCGCTAAAATGGTTTATATACAACTCATTTCTTGTTCACTCGGATAAAAAACGTTGCTTTAAGACATTTAGGGTAAATTAACAGTTTTATGGAGCACAAATAGACATCATGAAACAAAAATAGCGATAAAAACCACAGGTGACCTCGAACCAAACTTTATTGAAGAGAAAACACAAATTTTATAATCCCTTTGCAAGCTCCATCAAAAATTCGGCCTGTGCACGACGCTGAAGGTAAAGGGAATAGAAATATTGAAAAGACACAAAACTTCTGTTTCTTTTTGGTGTGAAATTGTGGTTATCTTTTTATTTAACAAGTTGTGTTCTTCTGACATGACGCACAAATAAAGAGTCATTTCCTAATTTCATAGCCACCCACTCAACTTGCTCGATTAACTGATGGTCGATGGCCAGGTCAGAGTTGGACAGTCGCACCCCCCAGTGCTCCAACGACTGTGTCTGTCAAAATAAAACGACTTCCTGAAGGTTTTTTTATTGCGAAAAAAATTGCACAGCAGATAAAATATAACACTCAATTTGTTGTACTGGCGTTCATGCTTTTATAAGTTATGCAAGAAAAAAATTTTAAGCAGTGCCCATCAAAGGACACTATAGGATTTATAAGAACAAGTAACTTTATTCATAAAATTTACGTGATAAAAATGTGATGGCATCATTAGGTGTGCTGTAGTGGAGCGCAACAGAAATTCGTACCACCTAGGGTTCCTTTAACGAGCACCTAAATGAGGAAGTAGTGGTTGTAACAACTTCATTAAAAACTATCAGTTCCATGTACGAATACAACCGATGAGTGAAACTTCTCAAAAATTAGATGCACACGAATATCCGCTGATTTCCGGTGGCTTTCATGAAGGCAGTAGGGTGAGGAGAGTGTCTACTGCGCTTGGTGGCGCGGAACTGACTGAACTAGTGAGTGTGCAGCGCGCGCGGTGCAGCGCGAGCGATCTGCCGGGAGCGCTCACCAGTTGTTTTGTTCGGCGCGCTTGCCAGGTGCTAGGTTGTGGTGATGGGGCAAAACTATTATTAATAACTTTACAGTTAGAGGTATGAATGAGGCGAGCCTGAAGTACCCTTCCTCCACAAATACTAAGAGGTACTTCTAGTTCGGTATTCCTGTAGCTTCCACGGTGGCCCGGGCTCTAGCCACGAATGCCTGTAGGGCTTTACAACCGCACATTCCCAGTGAATGCGACCAAGAAAAGGTGTTAATCCAGTAGCGTAGTTTGCAGCTATCATCTGGTTAGATGCTTGCATCTGACCTCCTAAAATGAACGGGATTGGGGAAGGTCACGGTTTGCGATTGCCTTCAATCTATAGTGCTTGGGATCTTTCGAGTTTGGGACCTGGGTATGGACAAATATGCCTCGATTTATACAGGAAAGATTCCAACAGCGAATTTTGCCTGACCCTTCTTTTTCCACATTGAATGGCCAGCGGCGTGTTGCATTTCCCGCAGAAAATACCTGGACACGCTCAACAAATACTACGTGCGACCTTTCTACCACGGCGTGTGCTTCTTCTCCGGCTGTATGACGTTCCTGGCCATTCAGAAGTATGGCACGATAAGGTTACCGAAGGCAAGTAGATAACACTGGACATGCCTTCTCACGTGCGGCCACTGACACTTTTGTTTGGATAATTGACTATGGTTACTCGGCTATAATTTACTTGGCTATCGAAACACAATACTGACTGAACAGCTCTCTGCCGAAAACAGTCAGCATGAGTCGTGAATGGTCTCGCCTTTAATGTCACGTACCCACACCGGCTTCAGCCACGTTTTTCGTATATCACGTTGTAATCACGTATAGCACCGTATACGTCGGTTGTCTTTTCACTGTGTGACACGTGGCTGGTATGGTGGGACCATTAGTGAGGTTACTTATCGATTATTACTTATAATATTTATTTAACAATTAAAATGACACCCCCGGTACTTTTGTGTCATTATTATCTGTGCTCATTAATTAGTTGTCTAAAAAAAAGAACGAGCCCTCAAAATTTACACTTTCGTTCAATTATCAATAAGTGAATTAAATACGCCAACTATTAGTCAAGCACTTTCTTTCTCCTTTCTCCCGTGAGCCGTGCTGTATTCCGTATCACCGCTTACCTGTTTTGTGACTGCCCCATTGTACCCACCAAAGAACAACACTCACAACCAGGTTTGCCCTGCGGAACGGCTATATACTCAGAAAAAAAAACAAGTTTCATAGCGACTACCTAGCAGACTTCCACGCGAGGTTCTGTAGTGTTATCCCTAAAAAGAGGATGTATTCAACACGACATTGTGACCTTTCATGTTGGGAACTGTTCTTGCATGCTCGGCAGACACTTCCACGGCCGCACCCAGTTTTAGTTGCGCCTTCGTAGACTCTATTCATCTTTCATTCTTTGAAATCCCCTCTGACCTTCCTATAGTACAAAGTAGCTATTAGAGGCATATTATGGTTGAACTCCCCCGTATTTCCTTGACAGATTACTTTTATTTTTTTTTCGTCGACATATGTACGCTATATGTACACCCAGCAAAAAAATGTTAACGAAAGACGAAATTTGCAGAGAAGATAATTTTCTTTCTAGCCTGATAGCTTCTCTAAGTATAGATGTTTCAGCTTGTAATAACCTATTTTAAGCATATATATTTTTTAAAAGAGAATCGTCATGCTGAATCCTAGCAGAAATTTACGTTTGGCTAAAGCTTATAGGTCACGCAAACTTCAACAATCGATTTGTATGTAAAGGGGTCTCTTGTCTCTTGTGAGCTGTAAAAGTTACTCATTTTGTAACTTCCCGACCGACCATCTATTTCTGTAAATTAACAAAGCACCGTCATTAACCAACAGGTCTTTGAGGCAGTCTTATGGTGCATAGCGTTATTCTGCGGCCTCTTCTGCCTCTTCGTGAGGCACTTGTGGTACCGAAGTGACGGACGAGCGAGCGAGCCAACTCGCATGGCGTACGCCTTCATCGACCGGATTTTGTGGTCCATGTGTGTCTCCTGGTTCGTGTTTGCCTGTGCCACCTGCAAAGCAGGTAAGCGACAAGCCGTATTTACCCTACAGGTGTTGACACAAATACTAATTTGCGGGGTGCAACGTCCTAATGGTAATGACACCTACCCAGCCTCATTACTAATGCCGCTATATACATAGTGTTCCGGTGCCTTAACGGCACGGAACTACACCTCACATAGAAAATTCAGTACCTATTGTACAGACTAAGCGTACAAATATTTGTGGGGACTCATCGAAGATCCTGCGGCTGGTGTAATAATGTTGTTGAAATACAAAAAAAGATTTCTTTTTTTCTTTTTGGATGGTATGCAGAAGTGTTAACCTCAAGCTTACTTTTTATGCTGATTCTTTCTAACGTTTAATCCTCATTCCCCAGCGTAGGATAGCAAACCGGACGCGCATCTATTTGACCTTCCTGACCGAAGGATCTCCTCACGGAGGATTTGGAATGTCCCACAGCCACCTTAACGGTCAACTTAGCTTGCAGTAGATGCTTCTGTGAAGAAAGGTGCACCTGACAATGTATGCGCAAACTCGACTAGAGTGCGCGCAGAGCCATTGTTTTGTAGGGAGCCTTCATGTGCGGGCGTCTCCGTGTTTTAGGGTGGTGTCAGCCTTTGACCCACCACTTGCCGCCACCCGCTAAAACACAATGTTGCCAGTCCCGGTTTCCGTGGCAACAGGCGCCATGTTGGTTCTCGCGGCCAGGCGTTCCTGCTCCGTCGTACTGCACCAGCTGCATGTTGGCGCGGGTGTGCAAGCTGCGGTATAAGCTGCGTTTGATTACCCCATAGACGTAGCTTCCGCTACGACACCATCCTCGTGCTAAACTACACATAACCGCACTTTTAAAGTCTATATGCCAGGGTGCCTGCGTGCCACTATGCAAACCATCTGGAGACCTTCCCGCTTCCCGACTTGCTCTAGCCAACGGAAACGCTGGGCTACACAAGTGAAGTGAGACTGCTTGGAGGCGACTACTACTCGCCGTGTTTGTGAGGTGAGTAGCCGTTGTATTACGAGTGGGTTGAGTATATGGCCGCACATTTCGGGAAATGGCTGACTTAGCCATGCAACGAAAAGCAGTTTGAGCAAAGTAAGCACGACAACGTGCACAGTATAATAATGAATTAGGCTTCGTTCGGCTACGCTGTGCGAGCGGAAGATGGTCGAGTATGCTTGTTTATCCTTGTAGTCGAAGCGCAGTTCCTCAATCGAATGATATGACTAGTCGAATGTGCGGTCCTGCATGCATTCACTATCTGCACTTTGTCGGTTTCCGAAGCCGTCTCTGTATTCGTCGCGGAAAACCCCAGGCCCGTAAACCACCTACAGACGCTCCCGTTCGCTTCTTCCTTTTCTGGCAGATGTTCGCATTCCTGCAATTTTACCTCGGTTGCTGATGAAGGGCATTTGGAGAGGTAGACAGACGAGCCGATGTAACGCGTTCCCTGTAGGCGCTTGTCTTGCACAGTTGCAACGCAACTAACTTTTTGTGTCGCTTGCCATGGGGTATTCGTTCTTCGCTTCAATGACACGCGCAACCACACCGAAACTCGCTCAATAATTGCAAAGAGGACTTCTCTTTAATGACATAGAATGCGACAGATTTACTGTTCGTGTCCGTCCATCCTTCTGTCTATCTGTCGGTCCTGAACGGAGCAGTATATGTGCACTAAGCAAGTCGGTTGTCAGCCATAACTCAGATATGCCCTATGTGCTGCATTGTTATTTGTGTCGCCCTTTTGTTTCATAACCAGACACACAGATGATTTGATATCGTAAACTCCGCTTTTATTTAGTGCTTGTAGAAAAAATGTGCATCGACTCCGTATATGTGGTCGGAGCCGTGTATGATTTTTTGTCTTATTGCTTTACTCTAGGCCCACTGCGAGGACAGAAGCTTCCAGCAAAGGAGGCAGGATGGTTTGAAGACACAAGGACAGATGCCGTTTGGATGCTGTTTGCAATAAAATCTGACCTGGAAAAACTTGATTTGTCCCTCGTTGCTCCCCTTTGCTTTTCTTCTAGCCTAATATACAGGCTTGTGGGCATAGGGGGAGGGCGGTGCAATGTGATTGAATGCCCTACTTTTTCGGGCAATGCTTACAGCTTGTAAGGTTTTTAAGCAGTCATTGTACAGATTCGTTCGCAGGAACTAAACTTGCTGCAGGAAATTATATTACGGACAAACGCAATGTTTAGGGTATGAGAAACAGGCTAGCTGAGTTATTCGGTTTACAGAGAACATCGCGAGCTACCCGGTTGTTTGTTCTGCCTTCCCTGTCGTTACGAGTTCCATCATATAAACAGCACGGTTTCGAGCCTCGCACTAAGAGGCCTTTGAGGTATTTGCAGTGCTAAGGTGAATATTCTTCATGAATGGCGCGCAGACATTGAAGTCCATTCATAGTGACATCGAGGTTCTCCCCCTCGCAAATATAGGCTCTCTGAATAACCTCACGCCACCAATGCGGTGGGTCTACCACGTGGGAGAAACAAGCTGTTTTAACAGTATTTTATACAAACTCTAGTCACGAACATGTCTTTGCTGTTCTACCAAACCACGGCTAACTTTCAGAAAACAACCCTTCAGCCTTCAGCACTTCCTATATAAAAAAAAACCTCTTCTCGTTGAAACCCACACTGCCGTCAATGTAAGTGAGCGACCACTCAGAACCAACATGGCGGCCCGTCAAGTATGGGGGCCGTTTTAGCCAGTTGTAAGCAACTATGATCGGAGTTGTCACTACCCTAAAACACGGAGACGCGCGCACATGAAGGCTCCCTATTGTTTTGTTACAAAGCGATACGAAAGAAGCTGAATGGTCAGAGGCACGGCTCATCGAATCGTGGAAGACAGAAAATTATACCGGTGTAGGTGCCGCAACAGGTCTGCCATATCTTGCAGTTCCAGCAAATGAGATCTCCATGCCTCCAACTATGCCTACAAAGCGCTTATTTTTTTTCATTAGAGCATCAGGGAGCTTGTTTCACAGAAATTCCGGTATGAGCATCGGCGTCGTTGGTAGTGGGCTAAAAATCTAAAGCGAGAAGACAGCTGCAAACCCATCAATAATAAAAGTCTGCGCTATGGGTGGCAATTGAATCCAGACCTTATGAGTACCAAGCAGGGGCTATACCACGGAGACACGACTCAGTTTTTAGCTGCGTTGGAGGAAAAAAAAAAGGAAACCTGTGCGAAAGTCTTGTAGTGCGAGTGGACTCGTTGACGAATATAATACTTCGTGGCCAAAGCATTCATTAGCTGCCAGGTACGAAAGAATGTTATTTGACCAATGACTGATTGATTTAAGGGCCCACCGAATACCAAGCTCAAGGCGTAAGTAATCACCATTATCAGCAAGCACACCAACAAAATGTACAGGTACGCGCTCTTTCTTACGGATTTGTAGTGGGTACTCTCCGCTAAATCGCACGTATAAAGAATTATGACGTAGTGGGCACTTCACATTTCTACTTGCGTGAGGTGTTTTGTGGTAGCTTGAAATGGCAAATATTAACGCACAAGTGTTCCTTTT